CTGGGGAAGGTAGGAGAGGGAGGGGGGTGAGGCGACATAGGGTGGCACGTCATGCCCTCATCATAGCCGCCGCTGCCACGATCGACGAGTACCGCCGAAGGGCAATTCTACAGCCTGCAAGACAGGACGAGCTAACGAGTTCGAGACTGTCGAACAGAAGGGGGTCGAATAAGCCTTACTCTCTTGGTGGACCTGATAATAAAGGCTACGCATTTAAAGGTTTCCATTTGGAGGTGGATCAGGCCCAGAGCGAGGAGGGGGGCCAGAAAATGGGGAGCAGGAAGATCAGACTTTAACTGTCTACCGGCAAACATGTACATAGGCGAACAGAGGCACAAGTCATGCTTCGAGGAGTCGCGCTCCCCAGGACACCCCCAGACGCAAGCCCTGCGCGGGTTACGCATCCTCGACTCGGTGATCCAACCCCTAGTATTATTATTCATATTATTATCAGTATTCATAGTAGTATGACTAATATGATTACTATTAGTTGTATCAGTAGTAGAAGTAGTAGTAGTAGTAGTAGTAGTAGTAGTAGTAGTAGTAGTAGTAGTAGTAGTAGTAGTAGTAGTAGTAGTAGTAGTAGTAGTAGTAGTAGTAGTAGTAGTAGTAGTAGTAGTAGTAGTAGTAGTGTCATCACTATTATTAGTAGCATTATTGATGATATAAATATTATGACTGTTATGACTTATTATTATTAGTAGTATTATAGTAGTAGTAGTAGTAGTAGTAGTAGTAGTAGTAGTAGTAGTAGTAGTAGTAGTAGTAGACTACTACTACTACTACTACTACTACTACTACTACTACTACTACTACTACTACTACTACTACTACTACTACTACTACTACTACTACTACTACTACTACTACTACTACTACTACTACTACTACACTACTACTACTACTACTACTACTACTACTACTACTACTACTACTACTACTACTACTACTACTACTACTACTACTACTACTACTACTACTACATTATTACTGATGTTATCGTTAGTATTAGTAGTATTACGTAGCACCCCGCAGATGCGGATCAGAGTGAGGGGGCGGTGGGGACGTCAGCAGTTTGCGAGACTTCGGAGAAGCCCGCCGCAGGCGCCAAAGTTTGACCAATTATACAACGAACCCGCCGCAGGCGCCGATTTTTTCGTGAAACCAATGTGGGTAGGTCGCGGGTGGGTCGCAAATTGATCACGGGTGGGTCGCGGGTGGGTCGCTGTTGGGCCGCGGGTGTAGATGGCAGACAACCCACCCCATAATAATCACCCCGGCAAGCGAAGCCGTTAACTATAGGCAAACAAGTGAATCCAACAGGCAAAGGCTGTTTAGTCTACGCCTAGAGCCGTTTCGCAAACATCAAGTGTCGGGTCCGGGTGGCTTTTCCTCGCTTGAGGGTGGGTCGTGGGGTGGGTCGCGGGTGGGTCGCGGGGTGGGTCGCGGGTGGGTCGCGGATGGGTCGCGGGTGGGTCGCGGGGTGGGTTCGCGCGTGGGTGGGTCGCGAGTGGGTCGCGGGGTGGGTCGCGGTGGGTCGCGGTGGGTCGCGGATGGGTCGCGGATGGGTCGCGGGATGGGTCGCGGGTGGGTCGCGCGGTGGGTCGCAGGTGGTTCGCGGGTGGATCGGTGGTGGGTCGCGGGGTGGCTCGCGGGTGGATCGCAGGTTGGGTCGCTGTGGGTCGCGGGTGTAGATGGCAGAAAATCCACCCCACAATAATCATCCCGACAAGCGAAGCCGTTTACTAAACGCACACAAGGCAAAAATCCAACAGAAAAGGGCTGTTTAATCAACGCCCAGGGCCGCTTCGCAAACATCAATTGTCGGGTCCAGGTGGTTTTTCCTCCCTTGAGGTTGGGTCGTGGGATGGGTCGCGGGTGGGTCGCGGGGTGGGTCGCGGGTGGGTCGCGGATGGGTCGCGGGTGGATGGGTCGCGAGGTGGGTCGCGGGTGGGTCGCGGGGGGTCGCTGGTGGGTCGCGGGTGGGTCGGGTGGGTCGCGGGTGCGTCGCGGGTGGGTCGCGGATGGGTCGCGGATGGGTCGCAGGGTGGGTCGCGGGCGGGTCGCGCGGTGGGTCGCGGGTGGGTCGCGGGTGGGTTGCGGGTGGGTCGCGGGGTGGGTCGCGGGTGGGTCGCGAGTTGGGTCGCGGGTGGGTCGCGGGTGGGTCGCGGAGTGGGTCGCGGGGTGGGTCGCGGGGTGGGTCGCGGGTGGATCGCGGGCAGGACGACGACGACAACACACAACAACAACAACCATAACAACAACAACAACAACAACAACAACAACAACAACAACAACAACAACAACAACAACAACAACAGCAACAACAACTACAACAACAACAACAGCAACAACAAACAACAACAGCATTAACAACAACAACAACATCAACATCAACATCAACACCAACAACAACAACAACAACAACAACAACAACAACAACAACAACAACAACAACAACGACGACGACGACGGCGACGACAACAACAACCACAACAACCACAACAACCACAACAACAATCATTCTAAGACTGTTCGCTCTTACTTGCCCGTGTGTTATTCAAAACGAGTTCCCCACACCCTCGATACCCGCCCTTGTTGTCTTCGATCACACCCCCATTTGGGGGGGAATATTTCTCTTTGCGGGGGGCGGCGGGCTTAGACAGGCGGGCAAACCTGGACGGGCGGTAAATCCGCCGTGGGCGTACATGTGCCCGCCATTGGAATTGGTCTGGGCCATGCAAAGAGAGGAGGGGGAGAACGAGGGAGAGTGGGAGGAAGGGAGGGGGAGGGACAAAGGAAGAGGGGAAACGCCAGGAGAGAAGGAGCGAAGAGGGGGGCGGTTGATTAGAGGCAGAGAAAGAGAAAGAGAGAGAGAGAGAGGGAAAAAAAAAGATAAGAGGTAGAGAAAGAGAGAGAGATAGAGAAACGAGAGAAAGAGAGAAAGAAAGAGGGAGGGAGGAGGCAGGAGAGGGGAGGGAGAAGGGAGGAGGGAGAGGAGGGAGAGGGGATAGGGCAGAGAGGCATAAGGATGAGGGAAGAGAGGAGGGAGAGAGAAAGGAGGAGGAGGGAGGAGGGAGGAGGGAGAGGGAGGAGGAGCAGGATGGTAAGAGCGTGAACGTTCGAGGAAGTCCTGTGCGAAAGCGCCGTTCCTGAAGGAAGTCTCGGGCGGGAGCCCACGACGGGCGGGCGATCCCCTGACGGGCGGGTCGGGCGGGTGGCACATTCAAGCGGGATACCTGAGTATAACGAAAGCTTTCCGAATAAATTACATGAAAGTCACAAGTGAGAGCGCAATTCCTCAATAAAATGTGAGGAGCTCTCTGGCGGGAGCGGGGGACTTGAGTAAATTGCGAAGGAGTCTTGACTCAATTGCGAGGAAGTCTCAAGCGGGAGCGCCGTTCCTGGGTAGATTGTGAGAAGTCTCAGATGGGAGCGGGGGTCCTGACTAAAATTGCGAGGAAGTCACAGGCGGGAGCACCGATCCTGAGTAAATTGCAAGGAAGTCTCAGGAGCGGGGGTCCTGAGTAAATTTAGAGGAAGTCTCAAGCGGGAGCCGTTGTTGTTGTTATAATCCGGGGGGCGAGGGGCCCAGTTTGAGCAGGAAGACTTTCCCTGACCAGAATACAGGGTGCGAGTGTCGAGGGGCACACTTTGATTGAGAAAAACAATATGCACCGGTGAGGGGGGATCAACAATAAATATTCCTCAGAAACGAGAATTAAACAACAACAACAACAACAACAACAACAACAACAACAACAACAACAACAACAACAACAACAACAACAACAACAACAACAACAACAACAACAACAACAACAACAACAACAACAACAACAACAACAACAACAACAACAACAACAACAACAACAGCAGCAGCAGCAGCAGCAGCAGCAGCAACAGCAACAGCAACAGCAACAGCAACAGCAACAGCAACAAACGCAACAACAGCAACAACAACAACAGCAGCAACAACAACAACAAGAACAACAACAACAACAACAACAACAACAGCAACAACAACAACAACAACAACAATAACAGCAGCAGCAGCCACAACAACAACAACAACAACAACAATAACAACGCGTCATGCAGAATTCTCACCGCAAATTCCTTATTCAGCCGCGCACCCAGGGACAATGAATGACCATTCGGCCCCCTCACTCTGACTATCATCATTAATTTCTGATTCCTCCTCCTCCTCCTCCTCCTCCCCAGGTTTTGATGCAAGCATTCCGCCAGCATGGCGGGATCCGATGCACCACCGAGACGACGGCCGACCAGTCAACCCCGGCGGCGACGGCCTCGTGGACCCCAAGCCAGCGGCACAAGGGCGGGAGGCCATACATACGGCCATGCAGGCGGGGTGGGGAGCAGAGGGCCGCTCGGAGGAGGGAGGACGTGGAGGATGGGGTGTGCTGTACATCAGGAACAGCTGAACGAAAGGTAGAACCTGGAGGAACGTGGACATGGAGAGGGGGAGGAGGAACAATAAGCCAAAGGAGAATATCGGGACGAAGTCGCACAAACATTCTGGGCCCTATTCAAAACCTCGAAATCCTCTGCCATACTTGCCAACGCAATGGAGCAGAGGATGGCCTGCGGCCTGGGACGCGGCGCCCAGGCGCTGGGATCACGGCCCACGCCCCCGCCGCCGCCAGCTGCGGCGGGGACGGCGCGACCCCCCCCCCTGAAGGGCGGGAGGCCCCCCGCGATCACCGGCGCGCTGGCACGTCTCGAAGAGTTCACGAGCTGCCCGGTCCTGCGGGTTGGAGTCACCAGCTCTGGCCGCTCGCCATCGCCTCGGAGGGCTGGAGGGCGATGGAGGTGGTCGCTGGAGGGTGATGGCCGCTGGCTGGTCGCTGGAGGGCGATGATGGCCATCGCCTCGGAGCGCCATCACTGAAGGCGACGGCAGGCCGCCGAGCCACCCGACCGCGGGGAGGTGCCCGCGGGCAGCACTGCGGGGGGCCGTGGCCTCGGGCCTCCGCCGCG